CATGGGTGCCGTGTCACAACTGCTAGCCAAACACGATACAAAGGTCAGGCGTGGCACGGCCGGAGCCCATCGCAGCCAAGCCATAGTTGAGAGATTTAATAGGACTTTGGCTGAGCGCTTATTCGGCCATCAGTATGCGAGGGAGATGGCCAATCCGGGAAAACGATCGACTGAATGGGTCGTGAGGTTACCCAAGGTGGTCTCGGCAATCAACCATGAAGTCACCCGTCTCACCGGCAAGAAACCGGCAGACGCTATCAAACTAAAATCAATAGTGTCAGAGTCGGCTGCTCCATTGCGTGGGAAGGAGAAACAGATACCAGATAGGGCCCTAGTGAGGTATCTATACCAGCCTGGGGAACACGAGGGTGATAGTCGTAAGCGAGCCACCGATCCTATATGGTCAGTCAAAACTTACAACATAGATAAAGTGGACATCAAAGCAGACGAGCCGAACTTGTACTACTTGAGGGATGGGCCAGGCAGAGGGTTTGTAAGAGAAGAATTATTGATCGTACCGTACGGCACAGTGTTACCTCCTGTCAACACGGCATAGCGATGATGCAATGATGCAATACCCGTTAAACTGACCTACTTCAGCTAAGTCCGCAGTAGCTCAGTCGGTTGAGTGGTGCGACCCCATTATGTATAGTCTGCGCAAGCTGTACATGTGGGGTTCGTATCCCGCCGTCACAACTTTGTGTGATGTGAGGTTCTCTCACGGTGAGAGACACAATTCCCCTTGGGAGGAAGCGCAATACATTTCTATTTCTCCCTTTGGGGAATTGTGGCTGCCGGGGACATTTTACTACTTTTAAGTAGTAGGGGTAATGGTAGCAAGAGCTAAGGGTCCGACCAAAGCCTTATTTGGGGAATAAGGCTTTGTAGAGAACTTTGTTGGAACTGGTCCCGGACAATCATTATATCTACTACTCGTTTCGATTTATAATTAAATAAAAACGACAAAACCCTTCCACTTTCTTAAGAAAACTATGCTAAAATCAGAGTCTATTGTACAATTGTGACTATATCATGAGTATATCTAGTAGCGAGCAGAAAAATGCGACTTTTCACAAATGTAAATTTATAAATTGATGTGTTTATGAATTACTATGAAATAGTGCTGATACCAGTGGCCATATGCATATGTCGGGCGTAAATTCTAGTCCGGGTGTAAAGTAAAATGTGCGCCCGGGCGTAACGTTAAACCGGTATGCATATCATAGACGTAACTAAAGTTACGCCAGGCGTAGCGCTCTATATTTACGCCACCTACCCAGCAGGCGTAAGCCAGGCGTAGCCCTGTAATGGCGGCAGTCGTACACCGATATCGCAGACGACAGTTCTACAGAAACCGTATATTTAGAGATAGGTCAAACCCTTTAGAAATATACGACGACCTTGATCTGTACAGAAGATTTAGATTCAAGATAATTGACATTTTCAAGATAGTGGATACAATTAGAGGTGATCTACTTTCCCTACTACGAACTCGTAGCACTGAAAGACAGTTTTTACAATATGGCAGGGTTTCCAGGTGTAGTAGGGTGTGTGGACGGAACACATGTTAGGATCCAGGCTCCAAAAGAACAAGAATATAATTATGTCAACAGAAAAGGGTACCACTCTACAAATGTTCAAGGTGTATGTGATCCAAGCCTGAGAGTGTTAAACAGCGTTGTAAAGTGGCCCGGCTCTGTTCATGACTCTCGCAGATGCTAAGGGAGAGTCAAATGTTTGTTGATTTTGAAAACAGACAAAAGACGGCATCATTCTCGGGGACAGTGCCTACCCTCCTCGCACCCGGCTGATGACACCAGTCAGGAATCCAAGATCAAGACTTGAGGAACGTTATAACTATGCACAAGCATCAACAAGAAACTATATTGAGAGATGCTTCTGCGTGATAAAGCGTCGATTCCATTGCAACACTACACTGCAACACTATTGTTGAATATTACATAAAAGATATTTTACTGTAACTAACATTAATATACATAGTAATAACGTGACTGTAAAGTAAGGTATAAATGCAGTTGAAACATATCACTTTAAAGTTCAGTACAGTTGAGAATGCGCATGTTACTTAGTCTGCATATCTCAGTTCAACACTCAGGAAGAATAGGAAGAGTGTAAATGTCGGGCTGTTCAAGTCTTCTTTCCAGAAGCTTGATCTCCAGTTGAATCTTAATGGTCTCCGCCCTTGCTCTCTCAGTTTCAACATGTGCTCTCTTGGTCTGTGCTTTGGCCCTCTTGATCTCCTGAGCTAGCAGCTGCTGGTAGAGGTCATCATCAGTGGCCTTTCGCTTCGTGAGACGAGGCGTACTCTTGTCTAAAAGGACCGCCCCGTGGTGTAGTGGTTAGAGCGTCCGCCACAGCGGAAGGTCACAGGTTCGATCCCCGACCGCGTCATACCAAAAGCCGTTAAAATATGGTACTTGTTGGTCCCTGCCTGACGCTCGGCATTAATGGGTACAACAAGAACTGGTCGAGCTCGGAGTCAGTATACTGTGTCTGAGTGGGGTATTGATGCTTCACTGTGGCATTGTATCTCAGTGGGCTAGCACTATAAAACCAGCTTAAGTCTGGGCTAGTACAAGCAGCCGCACGTACACATACACACGCATGCACGTCGTCATATGAGCCAAATATTCTAAGCACGACGTTAAACCCAATTTCACCTCACCTCACCTTGTCTAAAAGGAGGGTGTTAAATTCATTAAAACATTCATGTCCTTGAAATTTATAGATCGACAAAATTTACGTTTTAAAACATATTACTACATAGTGTAAGTCAATGTAAAATTAATATCCAAAGAAGAAAATAAAATAGAAATGTTTGTTCTTCTGTAGGGTTTTGAACCAGGGTCACCAGTACAGAAGGCGACATAACTAACCGCTGGACCAATTATCTCCCTTGAATAGAGTGGACAAAGTTTATCTACAGTATTGTTGTTTTTTATATTTTATCGAGTTGTAACAATCTATATATTTGAGACAAACAAGGATATACTTTATGATGTAAAAACCCCATTCAACTAGACCTTTAGCCCTTGAGAAAATTTAATAAATCCAATAAATTTTACCATTTGAAGATATGATAGATATAAGTTTGCAATACTATGAACAAACTGGATTGATTAATGTTCCCCATACTGACAAGAGACGATGACTCTGTACCGATAATGTCTAAAACCCAGGACGTGTAAGCCGAGTCTTTGTGTTGAGGACCTCCTCCAGTTGTTTGGTTCTTATGAGTAGCAATGTCTTTCTTAGCTTTTTCAAAGATCCTTCCACTTTTTCTTTACTTCATCCAAATCCAGGTTATGCCAGACGATCTCGAGTTGATCAGATTTGTAATTTTTCCTAGAAACGTCTTGTTTACGCTGATTAGTTATATTGTTTGAAAGTTTGGAGCTGAGAAGACCCTTTTTGTCTCCGTACATCTCCAAAAGATATATCATTTCTCCATCTGCAAAGTTGGGTTTTCTCGGTTTTCTTTGTACTTCCATGATTACGACTGCAACGAATGTGCCGTGAAGTTGTTGTTTCGCGCCGTTTCCCGGCGGTGTAAAAACGTTCGAAAATCTAAGAATAGCACACTGCGCCTCGACGTAAATCCGTTCAGCCGGGCGAAGTAACGCCTGGGCTTAGACGATGTTGTGCATGACATGTAAGAGCATGGCGCTGCTAAGCCCGACGTAGTGTGTTACGCATGACGTTAGCTAAGCCCGACGTTAGCTACCCCGAAATGTGCATACGGCCACAGGGGTTCGCGAAAAGTTGGGCGTATCCTGCCCGTCGATAAAACAATACGTTTACCTAGAATGGTTGGTGTTACATGGTCGGTCGACCACATCTGATTAGGACATTTATTAACCCCTGCGTTTGACGAATCGTGTATAGATTCAACAACATCAGTCTGTCCATGACATGACTGCCTGGTTTCATGCAGCCGATGCATCGCGGGAATACACCCTATAGGAAGACAGTATGACAGGAAACACATACTAACCCTTTTAAAACACTGGGTGTCCTGTCCGCGAATGACCGCTATTTTACATTTCGCCTCGAGACGTTTCGTTTCATAGTATCAAGTGTTACAACCGTATGCTTTAATTGGAAAGTTTCACTATCAAAGAGTTCCGAAACAGCATCGTGCTTATTGATCTGACACATTAACAAGCAGGACGTTTCTAGGATACAAATGTCATTAATGTGACTAGAGTTTCTTACATAGAGCAAGAAAAGTGATCCAAGAATATCGTGTCTGTATCCTCTGACGGTGTTTGTAAACAAAAAGAGGAATATTTGTCATTCATATATATTCGTATCTCCAGAATATAACATTCATATAATGTTTTAGTGTCAGTGTGAATACTTTATCATGGGTTTTAATTCCGGACAGTGTGGTCACATTTGGCTTGAGGTTAGACAAATGAATAGACAAAAAGTAGTTAGCATTTACCTTCCAGGTTAAATAATATATCATTTAAACAAGTATTAATGTATGTCAATGTCACACTTACATTGTTTTGTCGACTGGAAAGGAAAGAAAAAAACTAATCAAACAAATTAAATACTTGTACTAGAAAATACTACATGCCACTGCACTATTCTGCTATTTTAAAGATAAGGTGAGTGAGTGAGTGAGTTTAGTTGTACGCCGCACTCAGCAATATTCCAGCTATATGGCGGCGGTCTGTAAATAATCGAGTCTGGAAAAGACAATCCAGTTATCAACAGCATGAGCAGAGATCTGCGCAATTGGGAACCGATGACATGTGTCAACCAAGTCAGCGAGCCTGACCACCCGATCCCGTTAGTCGCCTCTTACGACAAGCATAGTCGCCTTTTATGACAGGAATGGGTTGCTGAAGACCTATTCTACCCCGGATCTTCACAGGTCTTAAAGATAAGGAAATGTTTGCAATCATTTATATAAAAAGACCGATTTCCCAGAAAATACTTGAGACAGTCTAACACAATAATATTCGCTATTGCAACATATGTTTTGTTGACACATATTTCGGCACATGGTGTTTATAAAAAGCAATACGTTTGCAGATGCAGATGACGATTTGTGTTGTCTCTATACCAAATGCTAGACACCCAGCCTACACACAGGGTTTGACTTCAAAGGAACCCAGGCGCTCAGAGCATAAACTATTTTTGGCTAGGACTATCATTTGCCTGCTAATCAAACAGTCAGGAATATGTTAGTATATGCATTCTTACCGTTTATAACATACGCCCATTAGTATTGGTATTAATAATAGCAATACAACAGCAGTGACACCAGAACCAATTGTTGCCCAGTTTGGTGCTGAGCTGTCTTTTGCCTGTCTTGCGTGTCCATTCTCTGTAACTGTATACAGATAATCCTGGTAAAGTATTACTACTTTTGGCGGTTATTCTCAAAAATATAAAAAAGGTAGGTAATTTTCACAGTACTGAAAAAGACACTCATGTAGTTCGTTCAATTTATCTGAACTGCACTTCCCTTTTCGTTAATTCAACAATAAAAAGGATACTGACAAGCCTTTTCTGCACATCAACAAAACGTGCCAAGTCCATGACAGAGTGAGGTATAGATAAACAGATAAACTTTAACAGATTAACTTTTACATAACTACTCTATTTAAAGAAAAACGAACTGTAAATGGCAAGTGTATTGGCAAGTGTGTTGTACAGACAAATGAGTGAGTGAGTTTTGTTTTTACGCCGCCTCAGCGATATTCGAGCTTATATGGCGGCGGTCTATTAATAATCGAGTCTGGACCAGACAATCCAGTGATCTCTACAGAAAGAAAACAAAACAAAATGGATAACAAAAATATTCATACAGATACTTAGATATTTTGAGAATGGGGTACACATATTTCATATGTTCAGCTACATTTACCTTTGTTTTATTCATACCTTCACAAAGGTTCCTGTCTTGCCAGCTTTACATCCCAATGTGCACGCGCTCCATCTTGGTGATTACAGGTGTTGTTTACACAGTTCTTGCTGCACTGTTTGTTGCAAGTGTCACTCATACCAGCCTGGAATACATCCTTCAAGACAGTGTCCACTGGTCTTGCCACAGTATACAACGCCTTCAGCAGGATATATGTCGCAGTGTTTAGAAACAGTTTAAGTCACAATCGTCTCCGTATCTTCCCGGTGGACATAGTGGTTCACTTCCGGCACTCAGAACTGCAACATAGTATAAACAAATATGTAAGCCAGGAAACGTCATACATACGATCATTATTTTCCTCATTGATATTTCAAGAACTGGTGTAGTTATAATTACAAAAGTACATGTGTGGTGTTTTCAGAGTTTTATTCAGTTTTGGGAACTTCACAGAACCTCCGGAGAGGGTAATTTACTGTAAGAAACAAAAAATAAACATTAGAATGACTAGCAGCACACACATCCTCATGTTCCATGAACAATTTCTTTAAAAGGGGACATCTTTCTCAAATTTGGGATGTATTGGCAATTTTCTCAATATCCTGTCTTAGTTTCAACAGTTTATCACAATAGTACTGAACTCGAGCATCATATGCTGCCTGTCCCTTTTCTGTGAGCTTGACAAGATGTTTATTTGGCATAACTGCTGTATCTTCATTTGACTCTGTTTTGACATTGCTGGCCATGATTTCTGGCTTGTTTTCCAACAAAGCTTTTATCCTTAAATTACTGTGGAGTTTTATTCAGTTTTGGGAACTTCACAGAACCTCCGGAGAGGGTCATTTACTGTAAGAAACAAAATAAACATTAGAATGACTAGCAGCTCAAATGGTGAAAATATGGTTTATTGATAAAATAACAGATAATCTGACCTGATTTAGGCTTTAAATGATAGAAAATAACATTACATTGATGAGATGGGAAGAATAATTACTAACATGATAGTGATTGACTTGGATATAGCCAGATTGATGACCATGAAGAATTTCTGATGTTTTCACATGTGTTTTGTAAAGGGAGATAACTCTAAAACTACCAACTTGAGCTACCAGCTTGCTAAAACAAAGGGAAAGAGTGTGGGTTCAAATCTGCTGAACCCGCTTACTAGGAAAATATAGTTTTCTTTTCATTTTTTTAAAGTTTTGTTGTTTTTTTAAAGAGTTCCTTCACACTCCCCTCCTGATGTTGATGGATATCATCAAAATCACTATGGAACTTTACAGTTGTTGGATAACATCACAGGAGATTGAAGTGAGTATTACAGTCATTGGGTTGAAATGAGTAGCACGCAGTCTGTAATTGGTCTGATATACTTGATCCTCTTGCCCTTCGAGATGACGGCAACTTCGACCTTCCGCACCATACCATCGTCGCTTGGGAAAGTTTGATCAACCAATGCCATTGGCCAGGCGTATCTGGGGACTGGTTTCTTTCAACAAGACAAAGGTCTCCTTGCACGAGATTTGGTCTCTGTATTTGCCACTTTGGTCTTGTTTCGAGATTTAGAAGGAATTGTGATCTCCACTTACTCCAGAAGATTTCTGCCAGGTGCTGAACACATTTCCATTGGCTTCTGTAAGCTTCCTGGAGGGTCACCTCTGGCATAGGCATATGGAAGCTTGACGATTTCTGTGTGAGGAGTGCGGACGGAGTGAGGATTTCCGGTGCTACAGGGTCCGATGAAACTCCCTCGTTATTGGCCTGGAGTTAATTATTGCCGTGACTTCAGCCAGGAAGGTACTCAGGACCTCATGGGTGAGATGTTTGCTTGAAAGGTCCATCAACATTGAGTCCAAGATGCGTCGCGTGACTCCGATCATTCTTTGCCACACTCCACCCATGTGGCTGGGTGTGGCGCATTGAAAATCCAAGTTGACAAACTGTCACAAAGAAACGTTTTGAATGTAGGCTTTTCAACAAGCACTTCGTTGATTCCCAAGTTCGTTGCACTTCTCAAATAAAGTTGGTGCCGCGGTCAGATCTGTACTGAAGTACTGGTCCTCGCAATTAGATTAAATCTCCGCAGTGCATTGATGAATGAGGATGTGCTTAGTTCTTCCAAAATCTCAACATGTACCGCTCTGGAGACAAGACATGTGAACAGCACAGCCCATCGTTTGGCATTCGCAAGACCACCTCTTGTCCGTCGTGCAACTATCTCCCAGGGACCAAAGGCATCCACCCCAACGTACGAAAATGGTGGACAAACTTTCAGTCTGTCAGAGTGGCAAATTACTCATTTTCTGCCACTCAAGTTTTCCACGTAGTCTTCTACATGGTATGCATTTGCGAACAATAGAGGCTATCATCCTCTTGCCGCCTATGACCCAGAAACCTCCAGAACGGACTGCACCCTCTGTAAAGTGCCTACCTTGGTGTTTGACGTTGGCATGGTAGTGGCGAATGATGAGGGTTGTGACATGATGTCCTTTGGGCAGAGATGGTAGGGTTTGTCTCTGAAACATCCATCTTTAAGCATTTCCCGAGGCGTCCTCCAACGCGTAGCATATCATTCTCATCTAGTATTGGTGACAAGGCTCTGATCGGACTGGATTTTGGAAGATTCTTGCCAGCTTGGAGGCATTGGATTTCTGAAGCATGCATATCCATCTGTGCTTGACGAATAATAGTGTGTTCAGTTTCTTTGATGATTCCAGGGATTTGCCAGAGTTTACATGTGCCACCCACGACACTCTGTGGCACCAGAGAATGATCGTGCGACATGTTTGAGGTAGGCTACACTCCTAACGAGGCTGGTCCATGAGGAGAACTTCTCATAATGTTGAGAGAATGATGGATGGCTCACGGATGTGGAGAGCACAATGACCGGTTTTACCTCCTTGTCCTCCTCTGGCTGCACAAGTGGGTACTGTGATGTGTTCGTCAGTTTTACACTTTTTGGTCCATTTAACCACGCACTGCCTTGCATACTCCTTGGAATTACACCTCTGGTACCTTCATCAGCTGGGTTCATATCAGTTGAGACGTATGCCCACTGCCAGGGTTTTGTAAAGTCCATAATCTTGTCAACCCTGTTCGCCACGTAGACATAGAACCTTCGTGAATGATTATGGAGGTACCCAAGCACAACTTGACTGTCTGTGTAGAACCTCATGTCTGACGCAGGAATGTCTAACTCCTTCTCGATGATCTGTCCTATTTCTGTTGCCAATAAGGCGGCACAAAGTTCAAGTCTAGGTATCGTGTGTCCATGTTGCGGAGCTACCTTTGACTTTCCAAGAAGGAAAGTGTATCTGCTTTCACCAGCTACATTGTATATCTTGAGGTATGCCACAGCTGATATGGCACCTTTAGAGGCATCAGAGAAGATCTGTATCTCTCATTGGCTCTCCTGATGAGTCGAGATCTGCATACTTCCGTCCAATTGAGATGCTGTCTAGGGCTCTTAGTGAGTCTCTCCACTGCTCCCACTCCTGTCTTCGGTTTCGGGGAAGAGGATCATCCCATCCTGTTGTGGTAGTAAACAGGTCTCTGAGTAGAAGTCTACCCTTTCAGCAATGCAGGCGATGCAAAGCCAAATGGGTTGTACAAGCTGTTGATGGTGGAAAGTACCCCCCTCCGTGAGTATTGTCGGATTTCAGTATCTGCACGAAAAGTGAAAGAGTCTAAGCTGATGTCCCAGTATAGTCCAAGACTCTTCTGGAGAGGTGCTGATTCATTTTCCAGTTTGATATCCTTCAGATCCTGGGCCAGGTCTTCATTGTTGAATCGTTTGAGGAGTTCAGGTTTGTTTGATGCAATCTTGTGGAGTCGCAGATTCCTTCCTGTTTCAACTTCTGCTGAGTACGCTAGGAGAGAGGTCGCGGACTCAACATCTGGAAGAGACGTCAAACCATCGTCGACGTAAAGAGTTTGACAAACTGTTTGACGTCTGGCGCAGCATGCTCAACGGATTTTCTCAGACCATATGTGGCCACTGCAGGAGAGGGTGAATTCCCAAACACATGAGCAGTCATATGGTATTCGATGAGAGGTTTGGTAAAGTCGTTATCCTCATACCACAGAAACCTCAGGTACCTGCTATGTTCCTCGTCAATTTTGAAGGCGTAAAACATTTGTTCAATGTCTGCAGTGATTGCAACGTCATGGCGTAGAAACCTCATTAGGACTCCGAGGAGGTTGTTTGTTAAATCCGGGCCGGACATTAAGACGCTGTTCAACGATATGCCATCCTGTTTGGCAGAGGAGTCGAAAACACCTCGAATTTGGCCGGGTTTCCTCTGTATTGTACACGCCAAATAAGGGGAAGGTACCATGCCTCTTCACCTTTGACCCTAGATGGGGCTTTCTCAGCATGTCCACGTTTGATGATTTTCTCCATGAAGGTTAACATGTGTTCACGTTTTGTCTCATTCATCAACATGCTGTTGTGCAATGTCCTAGCTCTCCTCTCAGCTTGAGAGTGATTGTCAGGCAGTTTCTTTCGTCCCTCCCTGAAGGGAAGAGGGGCGGTCCAATTACCGGAGTCTGTTTTCTCATACCTTCTTCCATAAGCACCATGAATTCTCTGTCTTCTCGCGAGAGGCCTGGTTGATTATCTGCTGGGGTTTTCTTGAAGATTTCTAGAGTGTCCTGATCAGATATCTCCGAGACTGTGATGTCGTAGGGGCATGGATTCATCAGTGAAGGTCTACCCGTCTTTAAAGCGTAAATCTTGTTGACGTTCACTTTTGTCTGATGAACTGCACCAAGGCACACCTCACCTATAATAGTCCATCCTAATGTGAGCTTCTGTGCAAATGGGGAGTTCGCTTCACCGATTCGTTGATCAATCACATGATGTGCGCTAGGCGGATCTCGACCAATAAGGAGGAGGATTTCAGCGTCATTGTCTATAACTGGTATGTCCTGAGCAATGGACTTCATGTGGATGTGATGACGTGCGACATCAGGTGTAGGGATCTCGTTGCGGACATTCGGAATATCCTCACATTCTATGATGGTTGGTAGATCCAGCTGTGTGTTTCCATTCGCTGACTTGATTGCATACCCATGGGCTGACCTACCACAAACTGTGACGGATCCTGAACATGATGATAGTGTGTACTCGACATCGTTACCTCTCTCTCTCAAACATGTCAAAGAATTTTGATCGTGCGAGTGTCTGATTACTCTGATCGTCAATTATAGCATACATCCTGACACTTTTATCTGGCTGACCACATGGATGGATATTGACCAGTATTGTTTTGCCACAAGACTTGCTCGTAGAGTTTGCTTACCCACAGACCTGAGTACATTTGACTTCTGCTTGTTTAGCCTCTGTACTGTGTTTAGGTGGTGGGTTTCTCTGTGATCTGTCAATATGTGCACTACTGGCCTCACCCTGTTTAGTCCCACTTGATTTTTTTCTCTACGTGGAATGCCGTTGGATGAGCCGAGGTCCCACAGACATAGCACTTTACCTTTGCTGTACAAGTCTCATGCTTGAAAGGTCCACAGCACCTCATACACAGACCCTGGTTCTGAAAAAGTCTTTCCTTTCGACAAACGGCTTCGTCGAAATTCACGACAGGCGTTGAGGTAGTGCCTAGTTCCATGATACGGACACACTATTGTGTATTTGTAGGTGTCCTCCTCATCAGGTTTGTCCTGGTTACTTTTCAGCTCTGTCTTCACCGCTTTGACTTGACCGATCGGTCGACGAGGCGTGTACTGCTGTGCATTTGACCTGAGGGTTGAGTGGTGGTTACGAACCCTGGATCGTTCCTCATTTTGGCCATGTTCTTGATAAAGTTCACTAAGAATGAAAATGGGGAAACGCAACTTTATGGTTCTGCTTGTAGTTGAATGCCTGTGTTACCCATTTGTCCTTGATATTCCTAGGTAGTTTTTCCACTAAAGGGTTTATGCCTACTGAGCAGTTGTAGTAGGACAACAGGTTTGCATACCTTGTATCACACATGTATGACTCGATTTCCTGGACAATGTCAAGCAGATCATACAGCCTGTCATTCTCTCTATCGTTCAGTTCCCTGAAGTTCATTACCTTCTTATCAAGGGCAGCTTTATATTCTCTGGTGACCCATATATTTCATTGAGTCTCCCACACTTGATCGACTCCCCGCTGGGGGTCGCGAGCATTGGCACTCTTAATGCTCCGCGCATGAGTAGAGGATCTTGGACCCAGCCACTTAATGAGGAGATCAATCTCGTTGGGTGCTTCTATCTCTAGTTCCGTGATGATATTTGTGAACGTCGACTTCCAGGCATCGTAGTCTTCTGGACTGTCTGTGAACTTTACAACCCTCGAGATAGTAGATCTTTCCTAACCATGAACTTTTGAAAGTCCACACACATATTCATGTATGTTGGCTGTTGGGGGTGATATGGTTGGGCCAGTGGGTTTAGATTGAGAACGCGACTTGAGGTGGGAGTTTGGTGCAATGGTGTCGAAGCTTGGTATGATTGCATCGGAACTTCGCATGATGGAATCCGGGGTTCGCTCATCGGTTTCGTTGTGATAGAGTCAGTGTCTGAGAAGTCAAGACTGGATTCATCGATACTGGAGTCCATGATTTGTTCGATGGTCCTGGCTGCAGCCTCTTCCTCGTGGTACTGTCCCTTCAGGCTAAGCAACTCCAGCTTAGTCTGAAGAGCAGCCTGCTCTTGTTTGAGAATGGCTTCCTTCTCAGCATACTCTATTTTAACCTTTTAGCTGCTCTGCCTTGGTCTTGTGGCAGATTAAATCATCAGTTATGTCATGTCCTACTGAACAAAAAGCTTCTCTGCGATGATGTATCTGATTCATAGTTGCGCTGTGGCTGTGTATCTACTTGGGCAGACTTGACAGTTTGTATTATTTCTTACACAGTGTCGGTCAATTTCCTGGAGAATAGCCACTGTGTGGAAAGCTCATGTTCACTATCAATAGTTCTCATACCTTGCAGATAGTTTTCAAAGTCACACCACACATCCTCATGTTCCATGAACAATTTCTTTAAAAGGGGACATCTTTCTCAAATTCTGGGGATGTATTGGCAATTTTCTCAATATCCTGTCTTAGTTTCAACAGTTTATCACAATAGTACTGAACTCGAGCATCATATGCTGCCTGTCCCTTTCTGTGAGCTTGACAAGATGTTTATTTGGCATAACTGCTGTATCTTCATTTGACTCTGTTTTGACATTGCTGGCCATGATTTCTGGCTTGTTTTCCAACAAAGCTTTTATCCTTAAATTACTGTGGAGTTTTATTCAGTTTTGGGAACTTCACAGAACCTCCGGAGAGGGTCATTTACTGTAAGAAACAAAATAAACATTAGAATGACTAGCAGCTCAAATGGTGAAAAATATGGTTTTTATTGATAAAATAACAGATAATCTGACCTGATTTAGGCTTTAAATGATAGAAAATAACATTACATTGATGAGATGGGAAGAATAATTACTAACATGATAGTGATTGACTTGGATATAGCCAGATTGATGACCATGAAGAATTTCTGATGTTTTCACATGTGTTTTTGTAAAGGAGATAACTCTAAAACTACCAACTTGAGCTACCAGCTTGCTAAAAACAAAGGGAAAGAGTGTGGGTTCAAATCTGCTGAACCGCTAACTAGGAAAATATAGTTTTCTTTTCATTTTTAAAGTTTTTTTTTTTTTTAAAGAGTTCCTTCACAACATGTGACTGTTTAACAGATATATTTTCAACCGACAAACTCACTCAGGATAGTCGATAGCTGGCTCAGTATCAGCATATTGAAGTGGTATACTGCTCCTTCATCTTCCATCTGCAATGATATATTGCACGAGTTACAAAGTACGACATGACATTTTCAGGGTCGCAATAGGTTGCCTTGATATTGTGGACGCGTCTGTAAACAATTGTGCGCCTAAGCGACAATGTATATATCGATGATGTCACATTGTCGGTTCGATCAATGGGATTTTCGATTAGTCTATACACACGCAGAAATGGTTATACATCATTCAAACTTCTGTCTCCTGTAAGTTAAGATATTTCCACAACCCAAAGTAACAATTGCAAAGGCTGTTAGCGTATGAAAAGAATTTCTAAATAATATTTTAATAAAATATTTAGGGTTCAATGCTCAGGTTTTTTCCAAGTAGAACTCAAGAACCACTGGTCAGACGCCTTTAAAAAAATCATGAAGGAGGTGCCCCTGGCCATGAAGAAAGGGTGTCAGGGAAAATCTCAAGGGTCTAGACTCAAGGACTATGATAATTCAAAATTAATTCCAGAAAATCTACTTCAATACCAGTAATACCAAAAACTGCAATGGCTTCCAAATTGCTGTTGTTTTTCATCAGTTTTCTGATGGCTTGTCTCGCAAAATGTGCTGAACTCGCACTATCAGCTCCAGAGCTTACATACTTTGTATCCAGGAACTACTCTGCACACTGAGCACAAAAAGTGCCCACAAGTGCCTTCAATGGCCGCCATATTGTAGTCCTACTTCTGGGTCAAAGTTCTCTTCAAACCCTTTCAAAGACTTCCTCACGATTTGTTCCAAAGGAGACTTGACAGGTCAAAGACTGGAACAAGCTTGTTCTGATGTCGTCTTTGGATTCTTTGGATTCTGAACAGTTTCTGTTCTTGGTCGTATGCAAATTCACCTGATTTCGGGACCATATTGGATTGAAGGTGTTTAAAGACAATTTGACAGTTTGGAGGGATAGACATCTTCCACAATCAGTAACCCAGAAGGATCTGCCCTGGAAGTCTAAACAATAGCAATAAGCATCACTATCAGACCCTGAACATTTCATGCTCTTAGATGCTTATGAACAACTGCGTCGTTTGGCAACCACACTGGATTGAAACATGTAGAAACATAAAACAACATGTATCTCCGTAAGTGTTGACACAATAGCTTCCATATTTAGTGTGGCGAACAATTTCGATCAGGATACAAGAAGGATCGATCTATCCAACCGTTTGGCATCTTGGAATTAAGATGATCGTTTTCAGGTTGCCATAGGAGGTAATACTGAAAACACGTTGTCAAAAACGTGCTCTTGGTTGTGTATTGGGATCTGTACACGATTTCTAGCCCCACCCAAACACACTTCAGCCACCTGACTTTGACCAAATTTTGGATGTGCATGCAGATGATGATTGTCCAGTGTATGATCCTAAGTTGCTTGTGAGAAAAGGAAAACGTGATTCCTGGAAGTCAATCACTCACTGAAATACTTCAAGGCTCCGACTTATGAATGAGGGCACAATGTTACCCCTATCGCCTCAGGCGGTTCGCTGTTATCAACTACAGTAACTGCCCAATTTCAAGTTTAAAAAGATCGTATCATGATCTAAGATTATTGATGATCGAACAGTTTCACCACTCATACAAATGCGCCTTCACACGTCCGTACAGAAGGAGCTAAGTCTTTTGGATTAAGTGGTCGTTGGTTAACTGAGGTTTGATGTTTTCATGTCAAAATGCAACTCTCCCCGATACAAATTTCGCGAAACTTAACTAATGGAAATTGTGCAATTTTGTCACATTATCGCAATGGCTTCAAAAGCCCTGGATATCTATTGTCTATTGTCAAACTTGTTTCCTTTTCATCAGTAATATATTTCAGATGCATTATTATTGAGTGACAACAGTTTCGATTTCAAGGCAATTTCACTGTTTGTGAAATACCTTAAGTTCACAGGATTCATTTGGGGTTGGCTGGTTGGCAGGCTGTTGTTTCAGCAGTATTCCAGCTATATCATAGCGGTCTGTAAATAATCGAGTCTGGACCAGACAATCCAGTGATCAACATCATGAGCAACGATCTACGCAATTGAGATATATCAACCAAGACAGTGAGTCTGACTGCGTGATCCTGTTAGTCGCCTCACTCCTACCTTTAAGACAAAATCTGCATCAAATATTTCAATACTCAGTGATCTCTCTAAGCTAATGGATTTGTCAGAATGCTCAAACGAACACCTTCTAATAATTGGTGAGGTCAACATCCATGTTGGCAGACCTGAGGACATATAGTTGTTGTACACTTTATGTCTTCAATCGCATGTATTTCAAGCAATTCATAAATGCGGCTATACACTCGACCTTGGTACCAATGAAACCTCCAGTGATATCGTGTCGTCTCTGAAAGTGGAAGACCACGCTGTATCAGATCCAATCGATGTGTTTTGTGATCAAGTCAGGCCTAAACTAGACACATAGGGAAGACCATAGGTCCAGCATCCTTTAACAAAGATATCTTTGAAAGCAGTGTCTTCAACTACTTAACAAATCTGGACCTATCATGTACACAGTTACAAAATTCTAACGACACTTCATTATTGAGTAGAGCACACATCAAGTCTAAACCCTATAATAGGACTTTAACAGCCCTACTTGACAAGCATGCCTCCCACTCTTAAAAGCAAACATTATAGATGCTGCAGAGAGAGTAAATAGCTGAAAAAGATGGTCATTATTGGTTTGTTTGTTTTGTTTTTATGATACACTTGGCCTCTTATTCAAACACCTGTGTGACCTAATTATGTAGATGTGTGTGACTTCATTACACAGGCCACTGACCCTCATTACACTGGTGAAGAATGGTCCAGAAGCAATGACCTCATTACACAATGTGTGACATCACACCACATTAAGTCTGGTATACGTAAAGTCTTTCCTTCGGCAGCATTTGCAGAAACAACGAAACACAATAGAATGTGTATTATGTAGTAGTGCATAAATTAGCCGTGACAACCCAAATCTGTAGACATTTCTATCACAAATATATGATTCCTATATACAAAAATACTGATTGTCAGCTACTTCACGGTCAGTGAATTTCTATAGATGGTTGAACGGGTATTGGGATTTGTACAGCAGTGTAGTTAATATATATATAAAAGTGTGACATTACTTACACACACGTTCATCGTACTGTGTATACAAGTGTCACATTACTTACACACACGTTCATCGTACTGTGTATACAAGTGTCACGTTACTTACACGCACGTTCATCGTACTGTATATACAAGTGTCACGTTACTTACACACACGATCATCGTAATGTGTACACAAGTGTCACGTTACCTACCCACTTACATCGTACTGTATATACAAGTATCACTTTTACTTTACACACACGTTCATCGTACTGTATATACAAGTCTCACATTACTTACACACACGTTCATCGTACTGTATATACAAGTGTCACGTTACTTACACACACGTTCATCGTAATGTATATACAAGTGTCACATTACTTACACACTTACATCGTACTGTATATACAAGTGTCACGTTACTTACACACACGTTCATTGTACTGTGTATACAAGTGTCACATTACTTACACACTTACATCGTACTGTATATACAAGTGTCACGTTACTTACACACACGTTCATCGTACTGTATATACAAGTGTCACGTTACTTACACACACGTTCATCGTACTGTGTATACAAGTGTCACATTACTTACACACACGATCATCGTACTGTGTATACAAGTGTCACATTACTTACACACTTACATCGTACTGTGTATACAAGTGTCACATTACTCACACACTTACATCGTAATTGTATATACAAGTGTCACATTACTTACACACTTACATCGTACTGTATATACAAGTGTCACGTTACTTACACACACGTTCATCGTACTGTATATACAAGTGTCACGTTACTTACACACACGTTCATCGTACTGTATATACAAGTGTCACATTACTTACACGCACGTTCATCGTACTGTATATACAAGTGTCACGTTACTTACACACTTACATCGTACTGTGTATACAAGTGTCACATTACTCACACACTTACATCGTACTGTATATACAAGTGTCACATTACTTACACACTTACATCGTACTGTATATACAAGTGTCACGTTACTTACACACACGTTCATCGTACTGTATATACAAGTGTCACGTTACTTACACACACGTTCATCGTACTGTGTATACAAGTGTCACATTACTTACACACACGTTCATCGTACTGTGTATACAAGTGTCACTTCACTCACACACTTACATCGTACTGTGTATACTAGTGTCACATTACTCACACACTTACATCGTACTGTATATACAAGTGTCACATTACTCACTCACTTACATCGTACTGTATATACAAGTGTCACATTACTTACACACACGCTCATCGTACTGTGAATACAAGTGTCACATTACTTACAATCACGTTCATCGAACTGTGTATACAAGTGTCACATTACTTACACTCTCACACATCGTACTGTATATACTATATACAAGTGTCACGTTACTAACGCACGGTCAACCGAAATCTGACATTCATCATAGAGTTACGCGTTACTTACACACGTTGATTATACGGTACATTCAAACGCCACGTGTAATGATACACTCACATAGCATAAACCATGCCTCGTTAATTCTCACATATTACTGTAGTATGCTCTTCGATGTTACTTATATCATATACTTAAAGTGTGGGTGGCATATCTGTGTTGGGGCAACACCCTCTGTGTATTTGAAGGGAATATGAACAATGAGCGGTACACAGATATCTCTCGAGGGACATGTACTTCCATCTGCTCACGTGTTCTATGGAAATTTTGGATTTTCCAGCAGGACAACGACCCAAAACATCGTTCAAAGCATTCACAGGCCTGGTTTCTGGACCCAAAATATGACATTATTAGATTGGCTGCTTATAGCCCTGACCCAAATCCAATAGAAAAATGTTTAGGGACTTATGAAGAAAAGTGTCAATAAAAAATCTGACAAATATTGCTGAAATGAAAGAAGAGGTGGTCCGATATTGGGACAGCATGAACCACGACTTTCTAACTTTTGATCAGTAGTATGCCCCGCCGCATTGAAGCCTGCATTGCTTCCCATGGTTTCTTGACAAAATACTAACTGTTCACCTGTCTTTGAATCTGGAGTTATGTTCTGCTAATATTCACATTTAATACGTGAGTAATAAGTGAAAAAATATATATAAAATTACAATCTTTATATTCTCAATAATTTCTGGTTGTACTGTATGTTCAGGATAAGGTTAATGTTCATTCATTCTAGAATCTGCTTCACTAAGTTAGGTTTCCTACAGGAGGCTGGCCGTGACACGATCACGGTGAATGATCTTTCAAAGACTCGATAGCCCTTTCTGATGAATGTGGTTGCAGCTCGTTTAGATGGCGTGCAGGTGTGAGGAGACTTTTTTGGTGCCGACAGCTACTGGCAACTCAGCGCTGATGAAGGGGAGGGCCATGCAATGAGGAGGAGAGAGTTGTTGATGTTTCTGTCTCTGTGTACCAACGTATTGTCCTGGCAAAAGTCTGATAGCACACGGGGCATGTTATTGACTACATGATGGTTAGAGACAAAATGATGGCAAACCTGTCTACTAGTTGGTTTTATCTAAACATTCGTCTTCCGTTTCTTCATGTGACTCTGGGAGGAAATGATTTTTACGGCTTTAGATGCCTCTTTTATACCTTGCTCCCGCTTTTCCTGAATCATAGCCTGTACGACCACATGCTGGGTGGGGTAACAAAGTCAATTTTAGGTTCCTTGTATCAACAACAAAATATCCTTATTCTTCTTTCTCTTTGTCGTTCTTCCAAGATTTTAAGCCATTCCAGATCATACAGTTCCAGGATTCTATCGACAGATAACATACCTGTTCTTTACAACCTCTTATAACAGAATAATTGGGATCAACTTGACCATTGGTTTGTAACATATAATATCAAGTCCATTTTAACGTAATGAAAACCAGGATGTTTGAGATCATTTGAGATCATTATACACTTACCACGGAATGGCTAACTAAACCTGGGTTGTTAAGACGGGTGTATTTAGATCAAAATTTCTTAGCTTTATCCAACAATCAGGCATTTTGAATGGCATCATCTCCATGATCAAATGAATGTTACAATAGACATGTAACTGGCGAAAAGAGTCTTCCAAGTACCATCTGTAGTCCATAAGAGGTGAACTAATCTTCATAACACCGCTAGATCATTTTTCCTCAGGAAATTATGTCGTTCAAATCAAGTCACTGGTAATCTTCCCTTTAATTTTCTATTGATGATAATATTGATGGCAAGAATCTGTTCTCTGTTCATTTCTAAGTTGTCTTGTCGAATCTCCTCAATGTCTTGATACATTCACATGAACCTTCAAAACTCGTAATGTTTCAACACGTACCTAGCCATAAATCCTAGACAACAAATTCTTACTCCTATTGTGGTTGGAATCTCAATGAGATTAGTATTTGAGCAAACCTCTATTTATACATGAACAAAAGACTATACATAGACAATCAATGCAAATATACTCTCAAAAAAATATTGATTTATTGTCAATATTCACAAATAAAAATATGTAGTATTTTATATCACTTACTTAATTACAAATGTAAATCCACATGACTACCCAAGAGCACCACATCTTTAAGAGGTATTCCCACCAGGCCAAATACACACAGTCCGGAGACCAGCCTTCATGTTCGACCCAGGGGTCATCATCTACTTCCCAATTCTTGAGAACGAGACCACATTAAAACACTTGTACGCGTCACCTCTGATTAAGTATTACAAATCCTGCCTGGGCCATTTAACTAGGGAGTCTATTTCATCTGCACAGGCCAAGACTGAAAGGAATTCAACCGTTCTCGTTTGAGCTGTAATCAGATGAGGGGTACTGTCCATACTCAGGTCTTGGTGTCCACATACATCAGCTTCCAAGTCCAAATGACAACGAGGACCCTGTAGCTCCGGCTTGTCAGTAGGATCAGGAGGGTCGAGACACAACAATTTCATACCTTGTATCTCTCTGCATTCCTCAAAAGCTTTGCAGAAGGGAGTGTAAGCTTGGGACCACGTCTAGGCAAGATAGACAACCCAGTCACAAGAGGCGTGAGGTTTTCGAATAATTTCAGCCTTCATTGCCACTAATATTAAGACATTAGCTTTCACCAGTCCAGAGTGATTCTTCCTGAGAATATCACGATGAACTGCTTCTATTTTCTGTCTTCAAGGTAAGCAAGCAACAGAACCAGTAGAGCCAAGATCTGTGCGATCTTTCTGGCGACTGAGAGGAGAAAGAATTTCAAACACTTTGGGGACCTTATATTACCCACCTGAGTCTAGAAATAGTAATTTGAGTCACAGTCTGAATGTATCCTGTTACTATTCTAAAAACAGACTCAAACACGAGACAATGGATTGATGACGTCACAAAAAACAAAATGGACGTCTTTTTTTCGTGCTAATTACCTCTGGTTACAACACATATCCATAGAATTCTCCTCATTGATCATCACAACAACTTCTAAATGCTGCTCAAAGAAGTCACAGCGAGATGTTGGTACATGTTGAAGGGAGAAGTACATCTTCTGACATTCTTAACAGTTTAACTCGGGCCTGTAAAGGGTGATGTTATTAACGAAAGTGTGCCTTGGTGCAATTCAACTGCGGAGTTTAAACACACCACTGCACATAACACTTGCCACAATTTGGGTCACATTCTTACAAACACAATCTTAAACTAAATACTCACAGTGTTAAAGGAAACCCTGTCCTCACTACGTTCTGCAATCACACCCAGTCCACAATCAACCTAACCACCCATATGAAAACTAGCGTGTGTATTGTAGTGCCGGCCAGACACGATCTGAGAGGAAAGCTTGTCAGTAGGGTATTTTCAATCGATGTCAATACACCACTTCACTGGGGTCACCTTAACATGCTCAGTGCATTCTGAAATCTGTCTTTACATTGTGCTGTTATTTCACGGTGCAATACGTTGTGCAACAATGTTTCGACTGTTTGTTCAATGTGATATTCAGTGAGGGGAAAGTGGAGTTATATTTAGACTTAGCCTCACAGTCATCTCCGATAATCCGATACTGTGAAGCGTGATCAAGAAAGCTTATCATGGAAATGTCTTGACTTTTTCTTGGGTATATAAGGGGAGTCAGATATTGCCTTCCCCTCGCATTACATCACATGCAACGAGAAGACCATCAGTGTAAGTAAACTTTTGTTGTGATTTGTTTTGATCTGTAAACGTAGTCAATTCTAAAATACAATTGTTAACAACATCACATCACAATACATTTAGACGCAATAGCTGGCCTTGTGCGCTGGCTTGGTGAAGTTACAGAGTACCTCTTGCGAGTAAGGATGCATATGAGACTTTAACCGTTCTTAATAATATTTCCACTTTAGTAATAGATTTTACTTTGTTGAAATGATAACGCATCAAGGTTGCAACAAATGCCATTTTGAACGCAAAGTCAAGACTCAGTCCGTAGCAAGGACATATGTGAAAGTTTGACTAATAACTGACAGAAATAGATGGGGTTTTGAGAAAGAACATATGTGACAGTGAATTATGGCAAATTTACAGGTGAATCATTTCAGGTTTAAAAACAAAATTCAAGAGACCAACCGAAGCTGAACATTTCAATCCAAAACAGAAACAAAAAATAACAAAGGCCTAGTTTCTAAACACGAGCAAACAAAAATTGAAAATGCGTTGTGATAATTTTACAAGCTCATGCACTTAACACAAAACTCAGCTTACTCTTGCACTAAGCCATAAAATCTCCAACTATTTACAGGTCCGACAGGCATCAAGTAATACGTCAAGTTCACTTCTTAGTCCACCATGAAGAAATATTCGTTAGATTGCTCAATGGCTCAAAATATCACCGACAAAACCTCTTTCACAACTCGCATAAACTATGTGTTGTCTGACTTTATCATTAGCCTGTGTCCACGAATCACTATCAAATACTGCGATATGGCTGAAATATTGCCGGTGTGACGTTAAATGTTAACTCACACCACTCCACTATCAAATACCGATGATAGGAGGTGTTTACGTGAAGGTGACCCCAACATTATAAACCACTACAAAAGGTACTCGTTCTCCTGAGCATCGCTTTTGTCACTGATGATGCCTGTATAAGGGCAAAGTTTGTGGACATCTTTAAAGCAGGTACTATCCACAACCACACTGTAGACTACAAGCTATATAACTATAAATCGACCTTGCACCTCTTGAAAGTGGTAGTGAATGAGATTGCCTTCGATGTTACTGTTCACCGGACATCCGTTCCTCAGCTGGTGTGATATATTTCACATAAGTTGTCTGATCAACGACACAGTTATCCCTCTCTAGGTGTGTGTGTACGACTGGTTGTCTTCTGAAGTACCATCTGAAGATACGTCACTGTGTGTTCCACTGACGTCAGCTTCCTTAAGCAGTTCTGCCAACGGAGGAGTGACATCATTCGATTCAGGCTCAGTGGAGTCACATTCTTGGTCCACATCTTCATCTCGAATTTCGTAATATCTGTTTGACGGAGGCTGATACCCTACTATGTAGGTGTTCTGCTTCATCGTTCCTGTAGATTAATTGAACAAGTTGTTGTAATTAGTTTCAAAATACCTAACAATATGGAAACATGATGTGTAAATAGTTATATGGAACACTGGGTGTTCATCATTCTGTACTGTCATACGTGATAATCCGATTTGGAATTCTTCAACTGCTTTGGAGCTCATGCTTGTCGTAAGAGGTAGAGATAACGAAGAGAGATTGATTGGCTTGCAGACGTGGTTGATGTATGGCATCGCATTCCAACTGCTTAGCTCAGTGCTCATGACATCAACCACTAGATTATCTTCTCCAATCTGATTAAATGCAAACTGCCCTTATATAGCTGATATATTGCTGAGTGTTACGTAATAAACATAATACCGTGTGCTTTATGCATCGGAGTTAGTTATGTGTCCATTCTATGATATTACGAGAGACAGCAAACGCATGTCTGCAAATAGATTCATGCCATCTTAGATCAGTTGACAAAGTGTTCTCTCTCAAGCAAATTTTGTCCAACTACATATTGCCATATAAAAAGCAAACGTCATAACCTGAAAAGTAGAAATATCAATAATGTTATGAGCCGGAAAAGACACCTGCTCCACTCACCTTCTCCTTGACCAGTATCTTACAAAACAAACAGCACAAAGGATGCCAGTAAGAAACATCACTGCTGACAGTCCCATTGTCATGTACTTGATGTCAAGCTTCGGCTGACCACCTACAGAATAACAAAAATCAACCAGTCAGGTCAACTGTGACTCCGTCATATCCAGGGAATAGTGAGTGAGTGAGTTTAATTTTACGCCGCACTCCAGCAATATTCCAGCTACATGGCGGCGGTCTGTAAATAATCGAGTTTCGACAAGTCAACCCAGTGATCAACAGCATGAGCATCGATCTGCGCAATTGGGGAACCGATGACATGTGTTAACTAAGTCAGCGAGCCTGACCACCTTGATCCCGTTAGTCGCCTCTTACGACAAGCATGGGTTACTGAAGATCAATTCTAACCCGGACCTTCACGGGTGTCCAGCAAATAACAGAAGTTACCACATAACAACAGTCAAAGTACAGAGTACATATTTAACACCACACAACAACCTATGAATTGCAATATAACACACGTACGAAAGCCGCGTTGTATTTTCTGAAACACTCTTGTTTGAAGTATGCATGCTGATGGACGAATAACTTCTTTGATTTCATTATATTATGTATAAAACATTTTAGCAAAGAAACATGATGTAGATTTAAATGATTATCTGATTATATTAAACAGTATTATTACGTGCTCACCCGGAAGACATACAAGGTGAGCATCTGTGGAGACAACAATGTGGGCAGGTTGATTAACATCTGCATTCAGTATTATTTCATATTCTCATGCAGCCGTTTTTTGTTTTCATAAGTAAGAATTGTTTTCAGTAATTATGTGCTTAAATGTCTTACCTGAACATGTTCTGAGTTTAAGGCAGACCTCCGAAGGACAGTCTTTAGTACAGTTAGATGTGCATGTCTGGTCGGTATCATTACATCCTCTGACGCAAGTTCCATGCGTCCGACCACATAATCCCGTCAAGACAGACATCACACGAGATGTTACAAAATGCACCATAATATCCATTGATGCAACCTTTCACACAAGATCCGTTGTTCGGGTGACAAACTTCATGGATGCAGTTCTCAAAGCAGGAGCAGTCAGTCCCAGCATACCCTGGTGCACAACCAGCTGTACACGACCCTGAGTCAGTGCAGGACATACCTGCACACTTCCGGCTACATCGAGAGGAGCAGTTTGTACCATAACATCCGTCATTACAATCATGGACACAGTCTCCAGTGTTCTTATCAAACTTGGGGATGCAGTTAATGGATGCATTTTGGCCTCTCACTCCAAGTAAGAAACTGCGGGCCCAGGACGACAGTTTCCACTGCACACATTATCGCACCAATGACCGTAGAAGCCAGGTTTACAACCTTCCTCACATCCAGACACACAAGCTCCTACACAGTTCTCACATGACATCTCACAGTTGAGACCTTGGTATGGATCATGACAATCGTCACACAAGGCCATAGTAGGAGTCGACACATCCAGAAACACAGGATGTCGAACTGAGCCTACAGTATCCTTCATTACATCCACCTTCACACACCGTGCACTGTGACCAAGTGTTGTGACATGGTATTTTGCAGCGTGTACCTCTGAAGCCTGGAACACATCCCTCAGTGCAATACTCGATGCCCGTCTCTGAGAGTTCACACCTGATTTTTACATCCGCTGTTGCACACTGACGTGCACTTCCTACCATAGTATCCAACCTCGCATGGTGCCGAGCAGTCTCCATTACTGTCACAGTCGGTGCACTGCTGGTCATTGCCGCATGGGTTTGCTGGAAAAAAGAATAATACAATCAGTATTTAGATCGGTACGAGGCAAAAGATGGAGCGTAACATTGACACGATCAAGGTAGGACTGACCAGTTATGTTTGTCACATAACGTTTGAGTGAGATATGTAATTCTATGCTTCGTCATATCTACGCTTGATATGTTTTATGAAATCTTAACGAGCAAAATGAGTTGGTTAAACCGACTTGACAGCGCCACTGCACACGCTTGATCATTTGATGAAACAATGAAGACGTTGTGAACTTACCTCGTATAACCATTACAGTGAGTTCTGCACACACAGAGTCACCAAAGACGCCATGAAGTGTCTGAATACAGAAAACAATGTCAGCCGATATTCCATGTATGATCATATTTTAGAACTGATTCCTTATGCATTAAACCTACTCACTGGTGACGAGTGAGGAACATCTCCAGTGTGTGTGTATCCAGCTGACTGATGCAGCCTATTATTGTGACCACCAGTTGCGGGATCAGAGTTATACCGCCGGTTAACTGTAATCTTCCGTCTAAGGGGGAAGTATAAATTAACCATCCCATGAGGCATAATACGTGCGAGCTAATGAAAAACGCTTTATTTTATTAGTTTTGCTTGTACACTAAAACATCAATATTATTCGACTTTGTTGTAGCAGGTTCAAAATGGACATCCATACTGAGAGAGGTACTTCATTCGACCTGCATCATGTCGGGTTTTCCACCCTCACGAAGCTGTCAGTTGCTGGTCATTTATAGCCGTTTTTCATATTGTACTATTATTTCTAGAGATGTATATTTTATGATAGCGTATTGGTTTTTAAAGTTTTAAGAGCTGTGATAATCTAGTAGTTTTACCTTCCTTCGATTACAGGTTTTTACGCTCTAAATTATATTGATTTTACTTATTGATATAGATTAAATTGTTCTCGTCACGATAAAGCTGCAATGTTGCCGATGTGACGCTAAATATTAACTCACTCCGCTCACACTCACGAATCTGACACGCCCCATATAATACAGTAATGCTGCTCAAAAATGGTTATGGAACAAACTTTGACTTACAAATACAAACTTACTTATCGCAAATTAAACGTGAGAAGTACATAAATTGCGGATAACATTAAGACAGCTGTGAGTTCACTATGGTCAAGCTGCTTGGCTGTAATGATGTTTCTTCATCACAGGGGATAATTATTTTATAGCTTCATCTATGAAGGTTATTTCAATTACAGTTAGTTTTCGTTTTACTGTCCACATTCAAAACAAAAAGAATCAATTACAAATTTGATTGATATGTCTTGTAAATTAACATGTGTTATTATAAAATATATATACTGATGGGCAAAGAAACTTTCTCTTGCAATTTTTCAAAATATTAACATAAGAAAATATAATCAAATGCAAATTGCCCTATAGTTATTGCCAGCAACAAGGGTTCGATTCTGACCAACATCAGCGCTCAACTTGACAACTTTGCATCGAAAACAGCAAAATGCAAGTACGGGTAAAATTAACGTGCATGCACGGCATGAAACCACTTCACAGCACAAGAGCAAATCGTACTTCAGCAGAAAACCACTTCACAATGCCGAGGTTGACTGAAATGCCTGAAAGAGGATTACAGTATTGTAAAGTAATGTCCTGCTGAGAGTACATGTAACACCACATTATCCAACGTGAATTTAACGCTACCAGGTTTTAAATCGTAGACTATGTGTGATTTTAATTCGCGGCTAACTTTGTCCATGACTGCCTAAAGCTGAGGGGTGGCCTTGCAAGTATAATCTGGTGAAACCATAGACGAAAATTTGAACCCTGATTTGTCTGCAATATTTTTTCCATTTTTTCCAATGTTGCTATCGCCAACGCACGTGCGTTTTCATTCAGAATGGGGAGATGACATCCCATTCCCATCTCTCTTAGACCACGTTGAACTGTGTCGATCATCACTTGGTTGGAATACTTTACATGACAGTTTCGAGGTTAATCATCCTGAAAAACAAGCTCTTTTTGAATGTTTTTCGTGTCCTCTTACGAGGTGTGTGTATTTATGAATAGTGTAATAATTTTCAAGAGTGGGGCGGCGGCGTGGTAACCAAGTGGGTATAACGTTCGCTGGTCACGCCGAAGACTCGATTCGCGCTATAATGTGAAAAGACCATTTCATGTGTCTCCCGTCGTGATATTGCTGGGATAGTTCTAAAAGCGGTGTAAAACCATACCCACTATCTTCAGGTGGTGGGAAAGAGTTGTTGTAACACTAGCTAGTGTGGTATTTCCACTGTATTTCCGTAGCATGTAAAGCAGAGGGATTAGTGATATATTATATACACTAAACGCCAAAATAATTACTTAAAACTATCCAAAATATGTTAGAAGGCATTAGTCTACAAGAAAGCTTAACAACACAGCTTTATGCAAATCACGAAAAACAATTCTCAAATGCATTCATATTTAGGTGAAATGCATCTTTTCAGGTGAGTTAAAGTGTCCTGTTTTCGTCCATGCCGAAATAAACCAATAACAGTGATTTAGATGTCAAAAGAAAGGTTGAACTAAAAGTTGTCTTTGAGACATATATAAACCATTAAAATCACCCACTTATCAACTATTAAAACAAGAAACGAGTGTTGTAGAGTGTGTAAATTGTAAAATAATCATTCCTATGATTATAGCCTTTTAAAAATTTCTGCTGATATGCATTAGTGAAAACAATCAACGTGTCTTTGATGTTGTGAAACAAAGTTTAGGAACACGTAAAATTATCTTTGTTAAGCCTTTGTAAAACAGTTTTGCATGCAAAGTAACATGTTTCCATTTTCTGTTTACACACAGCAATATCAATCAAAACGCTGCAATATTCAAGCCGTAATTGCATCCATGTCACGTGTAGAATGATTCTATAGGGTACGAAGAGAGCCTAGAATACATGATATGATACACGAGTAAGAGAAATATGCCACGATTAACAGCTGATGAGAGAGAAATAGCCATTGGGATAGTGCAGATGGGGTCAACATACAATGCTGTTGCCCTCGGATGCCACCGTACCACGGTTATAAGACTTATTTAGGGCTTCAGACAGACTGTAGACAGACCATGAAGTGGACGTCCACGCATCACAATGGTACCTGAAGATAGGTACCTCCGTCTCTAAGAAGGGGAGTAACGTTTCTTTTGGCGTTTAGTGTACACCTAAAGTAGTTAGAGAGTGGGGTTTGCCGCAGATGCGGCTTAGAGGCTTGTTTAAGCCCCCCAGTCCCCTTAAAAATAGCGAGGATCATTCGATGTGCCAGTGGCCCGAACCCCAATCTTATTATTACTCTTTCTCTCACAGTCAGGGTGACCTACTCAGCTATCTATAGCTTGAATGTCACCTAGTCGGTTTGCTGGAGCGTATAACAATGGCGCTATGCATAGCTGTGCGCTGCCCTGAATAGACAGTCAGTATTTAAACTATTTAAACAGGCTTATAAAAACTTTAGTGAATATCGTACCGACAAGACTCGCTCTAAAATAGGGGCGGTGGGGTAGCCTAGTGGTTAAAGCGTTTGCTCATCACGCCGAAGACCCGGGTTCGATTCCCCACATGGGTACAAATGTGAAAACCCATTTCTGGAGTACCCCCCGTGATATTGCTGGAATATTGCTAAAAGCGGCATAAAACCAAGCTCGCTCACTCACTCACTCACTCGCCCTAAAAGAGCCACCCCATGCCTACACCCAAAGTTCCGAGCACTGGACTTTCAGCCGGCTCGCCAGTGGTTCGAGCGTTGGACTTGTAATCCAGCGTTTGTAGTTCGAGTCGGGGAAGCGGTGCAAACACTTTTGTGTGTTTGAGTCGAGTCAGGTCACGTGGGCACGCGAGGTTGGGGGTCATTCCTTCTCCGAGGAGGACTGACCTCGGAAATATGGGTCATTCCTTCTCGGAGGAGGAGTGGCCTGTCACGTGACTATGTTATGTTGATTGTGGTTTCTAAGCCAAACCAAGATGGCGACCGAGCTTAGCAACTGGGTATGGATTGGGTTTATCCTGACCAACAACCCATTTAAAACTTTTTTTCTTTTTTTTAAAACCTTTAATCTACGAAGCAGTTTAACGTGAATCTTTTACGAGGTCTTTGTTCTTGGTCAGGAAGGCTTGAATGATCTGTTGTAGGCCTTGTTCTATCAGCTGAAGTCGGCGGTTTTCCGAGTCTTGGTTCGAATCCCGGGGTCGTCGAAGCCGCGTGTGTCCCCGGGATCGCTGTGGTAGGGCATTTTCTAATTCGCATGACTGTTTCTGGACCTGAAGCTTGAGTCATGGTTGTTTGATGTGCAACGTGGCGCTGAGATAGCCGATATGCATGTGTTTATGTCTTATATCTAAAACGGATAGTTTGAGTTCCGTGATGTTGCCCCGCGTTAACTTTTTGTACTGCAAGGTCGAAAACGATTCCGTTCTACCGTCGTTGCAGCTTTCCCTTTAGACTGACATGGCTCTCAGCAGCGTGGAAGGAAGTTTGCCTTGAATATTAGCAGTCGTGCTTACCCGGTCGAGATGAACGAACAGTCGTGAGGCTTACCCGTGAGCGGGTGGGGGTGAGATGTTGTTCGGCGAACCCGAGCGTTCTCGCCAAGGGCCTTGTGTCATCGACTCGTTGAGTTTTAGGCTGGCTGGCTCATACGCTGTAATAATCGTCGGACAACTCATGGCGTTTGCCATCGATGAATAGGTTGTTGTTCCCTTGATGTTGGCTGATGTTCGTCCATTGCGGGCAGTAGGTGAGATCACAGAGCGCGACTCGAGGTCCCCGAGGTGTTATTGACCGCATGCTGCAGTAAAACGGGCTTGCTGTTCGTGATTCCGGGAGTGTGATGAACATCTTACACATATATGAGACACTACCATATACTTTCAATATGGCTACACCCAAGTACAAGCCGGGAGTGATTTATCCTAAAAGCGATACGAAGTCTCACCACTACCATCTTACACATATGAAGATCGTGGTGGATGCGAAGGAGTGTTTCCACTTTCGAGCTCGATTAATCAATGTCTTTGAAAAGTACAGGCTGACGGTCATGAACGTCAAGGCAGTCCACGCATGGTTTAACAACCCAATGCAATTCTGGCAGAATCAATTCAATTTCGCCGTATGGTGTGCGACGACGGGATGTGGTGTGTCGTTGAACGACACTCGTCTCGATGAACTGAGCCAAAGACGACGAACCGAATGTGTACTACTTGCAAAACGGACCGGGTAGGGATTCGTGCGAGAGGAATTGATGATCGTCCCTCATGACACGGTATTGCCCCTTATTAAAGATTCGTCTTATGTTTCTCATACATGTGGAGATTGATCGAGAAACGGTTGATCAGACGCGTCGGGGTGGACGTCCATGGCCTCGATATTTACACCGCCTGCGTCGAGTCATAAGTCGAGGGAAATTCACAAGCCTGTACGATAGTTTAGGTCTCGTGTGCACCGAACGGTTGCAACGCCTCATGGATACGTTAGCGGATTATAGCTTAGAGACCCGAGAATGTGATGTCCCGTATTCCTTAATCCACTTCGAGGAATTCATGTCAGACCCACACCATAAAGTCGTTGCCGAATATTACGGCTACATTTAAATCCAAACCCTGTTTGTTTTGCTGATGTAACCCGATTTAAAAATAATTTATTGTGGCTTCTAAAAATTGTTTTCAGCTATAAACTGGTTTTCGCTACAACCAGCCAGCAACCCTAATACGGGTGTGTGCCTTGCTTTGTATTCAATACTCTGACGTCAGCGTTGCTATGCTCGGCCGCCATCTTTCGCTTAGCAACGACGGACTTGTAGGGTGCCATTAGTATGCTCCGTCGCCATCTTGTTTAACCTAGCGACCATGGATCTACTAGGTAGGTTTGGCGGCCATAGAGGGCCACCGTTACTATGCTCCGTCGCCATCTTGTTTAGCTTAGCAACGACAGTCCTTGTTTCACTTGCAAAAGTTTCTGCCGATACCCCGACACGAACGTCACTGGATTTCAAGTCCTACGCTCTTCCATCAAACCACCGGGACTCCGGATCAGTTACATTTCGGAACTTTGGGTCTAGGCTGAAGGCACATCGAAGGATGGCTCGCGCTACACCCGCGTTTTTTTAAGGGGACTGGGGGCTTAGATCCCATAAATAAGCCTCCATGCCGCATCTGCGGCAAAACCCCACTCTCTAACTACTCCTTAACATAAGTTAGTCTGTATGATTATTTTGACTATTCGGGTACACCATACATTAAATATCGATATGAACGATTAATGGCGAGCATCACTTGCAATACGTGTACCCGCCATAAAGCAAATAGATCCATGAAGAACCGGTTAAGAATTGATCTTCATATGTCATCATATCCCAATTGCATAGATTGAAGTTCCTAGTGTTGATCACTGGACTGTCTGGCCCAGACTCAATCATTTACAAACCACCGCCATACATATGGAGTATTGCTGAGTGCGGCGTTAAACAACAATCAAACAAAGAAGCAAAGCTAACCTTTCTTCTGATATTATCAAATCTTGGTATATTTTGGATTCTTTTTCCTCTTAATTACATATATAAAAATATTAAGCTTCATACAAATTATCTATCTGAATATTCCAATTTCATGTCTATGATATAATACTCACACGCACACACACACGCCACACCACAATCGAATCATTCATAAACGTGTATTGCGTAGTCATAACACCTGGTCAAGATCTGTATCAATTATTTCACATCTATGGTAAGACATATGTAACGTCACGCGTAAAATTCACAAGAAGATGAAGTCAGTGAATGACACACTCGATCATAAACAGGTCTGACATAAGTTAATTATGACAGAAAATAGGCAAACATTTAACCAACACCCCATACGAACAGTGTTAAATGCTAAATCTTAACGCATAAAATGACAATTTAGATTGCATTTTATTCAGAGAAACAAACATGGAAAACAAAAAGTGATTTACATTCAGGCACACAATACTCAATAATTCACATACGTGTCAATATCTGGTGTAATCTCCACCAGCTACAATAATATCCCTGGCCCTCCTTCTCATAGGCTGCATCACACGCTGAATCTGACGTTGAGGTGTTGCTTTCCTTTCTTGGTGGATTCCTTGTTCTGGTTCACCACGATTTTCTACTGGAGAATCTCTCTGGCGTATTCTGCAACCCATAATATCTGAAGCACGCTCTACCTGATTGAGAAATAGATTCCTCGTGGGCAAAGGTAGGTATGCTACCGCCCCTTCACGTAAGAAATCACCAACAGCACGTGCACGATGTGGCCCAGCATTGTCGTCTATGATGACTGACCCTGTGTTCAGAGGTTGGTCATCGACATTTGGTTCAGCAATCTTGTCGAGTATGTCAGCGACGAAATCTTACAAGAAACACAGGAGAAAGGTTACCGACCAATGATAATGCATAATGATGATTGCGGGGAACAGGGGTTTGTACAGAAGAGAGAACCTCTTGTTCTGTTTGGTTTGCGCTCGCTCTCATCTTTCACTAAATGTCTTACTAAGAAACAAGCTGGAGGCACCAGGAATTTGACTGTGATTAAAGCTTTCATCAGCTTGTATTAAACCACTTGCTCAAAGTGTTTGTTTCCCATTTGGCAGGAAAAAACAAGGCAATGGATTGAGATATTTATTACATAATAGAATAAAATAAGTACTTTAGTGTCATGGCTATACTATGACAAGAAGTTGGAGATGTAGGGAATTATCAAAGATCCTCATGGTGTATACAAATGAAAATTGTGGTCGACGAGGCCACTAAAACATTTTGATTTTGCGTCCAACATCGCTTATATCGGGAAAAAACATGTTTATTGGTCAGACATGCATGGAGTCTTTGCAGCGATGCTTTTCATGTGTCTACCATTGTTATCTTGGCTTAATGACTGCAGAAGTGTTCAGTGGGTAAAGTCTGGACTGGGTGCTAGCCATGGCAGGACATCGATGTTTTACTGGAGGGCAGTTTGGCCAGTCAATGTATTGCATTGACTGAAGTGAACATCCACTAAAGAAAAACTATCACAGGGCCGGATTCGTTTCTCAACATCCACAAGCTCGTAGTCGTGTGTATCCTGCTGATCTGCTGGACATTCCACATCTCCATCATCAGCTTCATCCCTACAGCAGAAACCATATGTGTGTTTGTCAACATTGGAAGCACAAAACTGGCAATCTACTGCAAAACAGTGTAACTGTAAGACTTCGTTTCTCTTCAAGTTCACAACATTGCGTCTTAACAATAATAAGTCGAGATATATTACATTACGGAAGCAGTGGCTTCCTACTATTTGCTGTTTTAGAGTTAAGTTCTACTGCAATACAGTATAACTGTAAGACTTCGTTTCTCTTCAAGTTCACAACATTGCGTCTTAACAATAATAAGTCGAGATATATTACATTACGGAAGCAGTGGCTTCCTACTATTTGCTGTTTTAGAGTTAAGTGTAATGTCGGATCTTTTAGAGCTGTATAGTTTACTAAACATGGCGTTACTAAACACGTGGAACTCATGGTTCTCTCTCATCTCACAATACAGCAAGCTCAACAGTTGATCATCTTTTCAACGGATATCCACTCTAGGACTTTTTGGAAGCTTGGCAAACTTTTTTATTTGGTCGGTGTTAATATCTCTGACTTCACTGCTACTACTGCTATATTTGGTATTACCATTGTATTAGTACTGCAATGAGCTTTGTACTTCCACTATGCACTAGCATTGTATAGTCTGTTTGCAGTGAAAACTTACTGATGAATTTCACTTTAAACAAAAAAGTAAATCAAATTAAGTGAAATTAAGATTACGAATCCTCATAGATTTACCTTGCCTAATAGACATTTAAATCTCAGAATTTTATTCAACTTAGGATACAAGTTGTTTAACAAACGATCATAGATTCAAATCGACCTATTAAAGGATCCCTCCATTAAAGTTTATATGTTTCTTTGACATTGTTATCGTACTTATCAACTGGAATAATATTTTGACAATGCACAGTTTCTTTATGTGGCTAGTATATCAGCGTCATAAGCAACCACTTGGTGACTGGATATGGGGCGCTATAGAAATTATTGTTTATTATCATACAGCTGAAGATAAATACATATTCTGTGTTCAAGGCCATGGAAGCTATCAGGTGACTGTGCCATTTAGAATATAAGTTCAACAACATATTTAGACATTGATAAACATAAACAAAGTAATGTCAAACCTTTTAAAGCGTTCGAAGACAATAATACGAATTGCTACCATGATGCCAATTAAGCAAAGTAAACACGCTGCTAACGCCCCGGTGGTGATTGCGATCAGTGTAGAGCTCTCACTTTTGGTCTCTGAGGAAATACAAAATAACGATAACTTAATATAATATACTGTGAATAAATATGTAATATGTACACAAAAACCTTTATGGTATTTAGTATAGGAAGATGCAAATCAAATAAACTGTCTACTTTTACAAATTATTCAATAAACTTGAATGTGCTACCTCTGAAATCTACGTCCCATTTAAAGGAACTGAAACTGAAGATCATGGATGTGTACGAATTGTTGATTTTGCACTTCAAAGTCTTACCTGAACATGTTCTGACTTGAAGGCAGACCTCCAAAGGACAGTCTTTAGTACAGTTAGATGTGCATGTCTGGTTGGTATCATTACATCCTCTGGTGCAGGTTCCATGTGTCCGACCACATACTCCGTCAAGACAGACATCACACGAGATGTTACAAAATGCACCATAATATCCATTGATACAACCTTTCACACAAGATCCGTTCTTCGGGTGACAAACTTCATGGATGCAGTTTTCAATACAGGAGCAGTCAGTCCCAGCATACCCTGGTGCACAACCAGCTGCACACGACCCTGAATCCGTGCAGGACATATTTGCACACTTCCGGCTACATCGAGAGGAGCAGTTTGTACCATACCATCCGTCATTACAACCGTGGACACAGTCTCCAGTGTTGTTGTCACACTTGGGGATGCAGTTGATGGATGTATTTTGGTCACACTCCAAGACAGAAACTGCAGTTTTGTTGGGCCCAGGACGACAGTTTCCACTGCACACCTTATCACACCAATGACCATAGAAGCCAGGTTTACAGCCTTCGTCACATCCAGACACACAAGATCCTGCACAGTTCTCACATGACATCTCACAGTTCAGATCCCGGTATGGATCATGACAATCGTTACACATCCCTGTAGACCTGTTACATGACTTACATCTCTCAGAGCAGTCCTTACAGTCAAGACCATAGTAGGAGTCTACACATCCAGAAACAAAGGATGTAGAACCTTGTCTGCAGTATCCTCCATCACATCCAGCTTCACACACCGTACACTGTGTCCCAGGGTTGTGGCATGGTATGTTGCAGCTTGTACCTTTGAAGCCTGGAACACATCCCTCCGTGCAATACTCGATGCCCGTCTTTGTGAGTTCACACGACCGATGTTTGCATCCGCTGTTGCACACCAACATGCACGTCCTACCATAGAATCCAACCTCGCATGGTGCCGAGCAGTCTCCATTACTGTCACAGTCGGGACAATGCTGGCCATTGTCGCATGGTTTTGCTGAACACAAAGAATAATACAATCAGTATTTAGATAGGAACGAGGCAAAAGATGAAGCGTAACATTGACATGATCAAGGTAGGACTGATGCGTTATGTTTGTATCCGGTGACTTGTTATAGGATGTATATTTCATGATACATAGAAAACTTCGTAATACATACACTTCATATATTCTTTGAAATGTGAATGAGGAAATTGCGTTGGTAATAAGTAGTTCGTTAAACGTAAGTTAATTGTTAACATCCTGTGGACTCAATGGACAAATCACCAGGCATAACACAGGAGAAATTACAATTACACAATAGAGAATACAACTAGAATAACGACATCACACTCAAACACACACGGTGGTGCTTTTACTCAGTCAAATAATTTCCTTCTAGTTGGTATTTCAAGTCGATATTTGCTCTTTCGGAAACAGTTGAACTACAACGAATATACTGATGAAACAACAAAACATAGTAAACTTGCCTGGTGCAAACAGTACAGTGAGTGCTAAACACGGAATCGCCACAGACGTCAGGAAGTATCTGAAATAGAAAACAACGTATGCCCGTATTCCATGTATGATCATAACAAACATATTTTGGAAGTCAAACCTTCTACATTAAACCTACTCACTGGTGCCGAGAGAGGAACATCTCCAGTGTGTGTGTATCAAGCTGACTGATGCAGCCTAATGTGTGACCACCAGTTGCGGGATCAGAGTTATATTGTCAGTTAACTGTAATCTTCCGTTTAAGGGGAAGTATAAATTAACCATCCAAAGCATAATGCACGAAAGCTAATGGAAAACAGTTTTACAATAACGTTTGCTTTTATACTAAAGCATCAATATTATTCGACATTGTTGTAGCAGGTTCAAGATGGACATCCGTGGCACACTGATTATTTGCTTTCATTATCATTACAGGTTTGTAGTTACCTTTACTTGTACTGGGAGATGTTATATACTAAGCAGCAAAAGAAACGTCAGTTTGGAATTTTCCTTCGCAGAAACGGATAACTGTAAACTCCTTTTGATTGTATATTTTACAACATCTCCAACTTTACCTGTGCAAAGACATTCCTTCCCAAACTCAGAATGGAACCCAGGAAATGGTCTCAAAACACAACCTGTTCTCGGAGATGGTACTGTGTTCTCCATGTTTTTCATGCAACTCATGCTGCACGTACTGTTCCTGAGGACCAGCCCTATAAACGCACCTCCAAAACTTGTTGAAACATTCACATTACAACGTCAGCAGGGTGCCGCGACTCACGACAGCTCAGAGGAGTAACAAGGCGCTAGGAAGACTTGAAGCTGGCCACACTGCACAAGCTGTTACCCATCACTTCCACGTGAACGTTCAGACTATCTACAGGCTGCAGCAACGTTTCCGGGTCACTAACACCACACATGATCGCCCCTCGTCTTGGCAGACCAAGGGTGACCACAAGACGACAAGACCACCATGTCGTGCGACAGCATGTACACAATCCCTTCATGCAGGCATCCGAAACAGCACGCCAGACAGTGGGAACACACGGAAGACCAATCAGTACCTGATACAGTACACCGACGTCTTAACAGCAGGAACCTCCATTGCTGTAGACCTTTACTGTGGACCTATCCTCACCCCTCGTCATCAGCGTGAACGTCTACAGTTTGCCCTACAACACCACAACTGGCAATACAGGCAATGGAGAACTGTTCTGTTCTACAGATGGCAGAACAAAAATATGACGACGACGTGGCCAGCGTTACTCAGACCAATGTGTTATGGACTCATGGTGCAAGCATCATGGTATGGGGTGGAATAGACAGTGGGTCTATTGGTGTTCCAGAACCTTGGTCCAGGGAGAGGAGGCGACATCACAGCGGTGCGCTGCATCGACCAGGCTCTCAGACCCCACGTCATACATACATTTCGCACGTCACCGGAACAACGTTTTCCAGCATGATAACGCTCTGGGCCCATACTGCTACAAGGGACATCCTTTAGCAGAACGGTGTCAACATTATGCAGTGGCCAGTCCTTAGTCCTGATCTAAAACCCAACTGAACATCTTTGGGATGAAATTCAGAGGAGACTGAATAATGAAATACACAATTCCATTTTAGAAAGTGGTCAGATGTAACAGATGTTATATTTGGGGTTACACTTTCTTAGTAAAGTACAGATTCTAGTACTTTTGGGTTGCGTCCCATCCGTCTAAGCGTCTGACTTTGTGTGCTGGGGATTAGGTGCCTGACTCTAATGGTGTGGGCTCGAATCCCAGCTACCTGATTGGTCTTGAAGGGTCACGTGACCGTCGACAGAAAAGCACATTGACTCCAAACAAGGTCGGACCAAAAGTAATAGAATTATTGACTTAAGTTACTAAAAATAGATAATGGCGTCAAGCTATGATATCATTCTATTGTTTACATGTCACAGTATTGTTGATATAACGTTGTTGGTTTGTAGTGAAAATATAAATGCTTTTCTTTGACTAAATCGACATGTTTGGGTTTATAGAAGATTTTTCAGGAATTACATAATAAAACGCTTATGGACTGGTGAATTTGGTTCATAATAACAGGTGTTGACCTCATTACCAGTCTATAATTGTATAACATTGACGACTTCATATACTCATGTCTAGACAGGGCGGTCACTGTCTACAGTGTTATACTGACCAAAAGACACACTTAGCTCTAGTCAGGACTATCAGTGTACACAGTGTTGTATTGACCACTTCACACACTCAGCTCTAGTCAGGACTGTCAGTGTATACAGTGTTATATTGACCACCTGACACACTCAGCTCTAGTCAGGACTGTCAGTGTATACAGTGTTATATTGGCCACATTACACACTCAGCTCTAGTCAGGACTGTCAGTGTATACAGTGTTATATTGACCACTTGACACACTCAGCTCTAGTCAGGACTCTCAGTGTATACAGCTTTGTATTGACCACTTGACACACTCACTGCTGCTTAGCATATAACATCTCCCAGTACAACTAAGGTAACTGCAAACCTGCAATGATAATGAAAGCAAATAATGAGTGTGCCACGGATGTCTATTGAACCTGCTACAACAAAGTGTATAGAGTGTTATATTGACCACTTGACCCACTCATCTCTAGTCAGTGTTGTCAGTGTAAACACTCGCTGTATTGACCACTTAACACACTCAACTCTAGTCGGGGCTGTCAGTGTATACAGTGTTATATTGACCACTTGACACACTCACCTGTATAAAGAGCTATCAGTGTATACAGTGTTATATTGGGTACATTACACACTGAGCTCTAGTCAGGTCTGTCAGTGTAAACAGTGTTATATTGACCACGTGACAAACTCAGCTCTAGTTAGGACTGCCATTTTATACATTGTTATACTGACCACATGACACACTCAGCTCCAGTCAGGACTGTCAGTGTATACAGTGTAATATTGGCCACATGACACACTCCAGCTCTAGTCATGACCTTCTGTGTACACAGTGTTATATTGACCACTTGACACACTCAGCTATAGTCAGGACTGTCTGTGTATATCGTCAGAGTGACAACAGTATACACATTTTTTAAGTGGCAGTTTAGAAGTTTAGGCGTAGAATATTGAACAACTTTAAGGATAACAACTTAGTGTTGAGTGCGACGTTTCGATACACAATCTTTTACCTTGCCAAGCAGGATACAAAAAATCTGTATCGAAACGTCGCACTCACGAAATAATGAAGTCGTTATGCATATATTTTGTTCTATATACCATACACATCCGGATTTTCTGTCTAAACGCAACTCTCAACCCCTACCTATACACATTTCTAATGTGATCCCGCTGGGCTGCTTTGGGACAATGTATGTTTTTACACTGATTGAATTAAACGTGTTGTCGATTTGAAATCCTATTAGATTTTACTTTTATTTTCGTTTTTGTGTGTATGCCACTGCCATAAATTATCTGTAAGTCACATATTTTGCTAAGGAGTTTCAAGTCTCTTTGGCGGTCAGAAAGTCATAAGACGTTTTGAGAAGCAGATGATAGAAACTGTTTTTAAATATCACAGAATCATGCTTTTGATTTAATTGAATTTTGTAATGTGTATTCATGCCCATGTTTATTATATTTCCTGCTTAATACTTCCTTCCCTGGGAATGTGGTCCACAGCAATGATTTATTATGGATATGGCCAGGAGAGGGAATGCTCCCGTATCGAGCAATTGACAAGCCTGCGGTGTCGCCAAATCATTCAAATCACTGCATAACCTGCTCTGCCATTTTTATGTTTAACTTCCTGCTAGGGCTACGCTAACAAAATCAGCTGGGAATCTTTGTCAGCCTCATACGAGGTAATTCTCACGTATCGGGGTGGCATAACTGGCTGTTTCCAATTATTTCATATGGGGTCCAGTTTATGGACAAATACAATGTTGAATGAGGACATTGTTTTCTGTATAGGCGACGTTTTGACATAGATTCTAATGTCGTTGTCAAGCAAGTGGTGACTTGTATATCCATAAAAATCTTCCTAAATCTTCACCTCCCTCAACTTCAAGAATGTTTACCATATTAAGAGTAGGACAAAATACCACCCGGACAAAATACCACCCAGACAAACACCAACCCATAGGACAAAATGTCTGTACACTGCTGATAAAATACAAACAGTGTGAAACACGACATACAATTTATTTTGAAATAAATATTTCTATTTTTCCTCATAAATAAGCAGTATTGATTATAAACACTCATAACACGATTCAACATAATACATCATCGTGGTATATTTTCATGGTACATGCAATCATCTATAGCATCACTCTAGAACATCAGCATCTTTGTACATCTTAATTGATGCATGACTGATACTATATGATATGTAACAAGCACCAGATTCGCCATTGTCGACGATGTCTTCATGGACCCCATGACATTCTAATGCAATTTTTCTTGAAAATTCCCACCTAATACTGCTCTTTTATTTGTAACCTTCTTAGTGTACACAAAACATCTAAAACA